CAAAGACAGTGGAAATTTCCATCTTTCCATATTCTGAATTCACAAGCAATTTGTTTAAAAATAATACATATTGCAATGTCAATTCTCAAAGCCACATACTAGACTTACTCACAATTTCTTATTATAGTCAAATGATTTGAGGTGACCATTCATCAGAAATTACGTTCAGTGTCACTTATGTTTTTGACAAATAAAACTTCCCAATCCCAAAAATTTAGCATTTCCTTTTGGGAAAAAAATATCAGCACTAACAGACATAAAGAAAGGTGGCACAGCAAGAAGAGCTTCATCCTCATGTCACTATTCTTTCTGTAATCCAGACAAGCTCTCTATTTCTAATGTGAACATTCTGTACTCTATATGTACATAAATAACTAAATATGGCACCTTTAGTAAGATTTATATTCATGCGTATATTAAAATACTGCTATTAATAAAAGCAGGCCTCAAAAAAAGGAAAAGCACTGAAGATCAAAACTCTCAGCTGACATAAATTATTTAGGAAAAGAAGGCAACATAAAGGCAACCTTTTAAATATTATATACCTGTATTTCCTGAATTCTGCTTCTCTTTTTTTCCCCCCGAAAAAACATTTACAGTATATTATGAATTATTCTGTGGCTGATAAATCAAGGTAACAAATCTCTCTTCAACAAGCATTTAAGGGACAGCCTTATCCCTGAATAGTAGATGTTGGGCTCGCCAAATTTCGCTTTATTTTAAAAAGGTAATCATTCTAAAAAGCTAGTAACTTTCTCAAAAGTCTGAAGACTTGAGCGCAGACAAGGGGCAAGTATCAATCAGGGTATCATTTTATTCTGGCTAACCTTTCTGTGACAGTTTTATATAGTCATTTAATTTGGCCATCAACTTGCTACTAATCACAAAGCAAGCATAAATCAATCAAACTTGATCAGAGTCGTTCTGCATTTCAGCCAGGCAGGTATGCATTGCCTTGCAATGGATTAGCACCCTTTCTTACACCTGTGCGCTGGACACAGAAGATGTGAAAGACCTTTTCTCTTTCCATATTGGCTTTTTTAAATACATACACGGAAAATTGCCCCTCCAAGTCAAACACTTGTCCAAATCAATTCAATAGTAGGAATCAATCAATTACTTACTAGGAATAACAAAGTATATAAAATACTTGACATGCTTCATTGGGAGTTATGTTTACACACAATCCATTAAAATGCACTTGTTTAGGAAAAACTGGCCCTATGAACAGAACCAACTACAAAGTTAAAGGGCTACCTGTCTTCCATTAATTGGTAAGAGCAGGCTGCACTTGTAAAATGCATTCATTTATCTTGATCTAACTTTATTTGCCTACATTTTTTTTAAACTCACTTTCTCCACCTCAAACTCTTCGCAGATTCTGTAATTGAATCCTCTATCTCCTACTGTGCATACACTCCCAGTTTTTTATTATAGTGGTCTATCCACATTCGCCCAACAGTAAGTCACATTTCAGCTAGAGGAGCTCTTTTCTGACCTACTACAATTTCTTTACTTAAGAAAAACTATTTTTATGAGCAAGAGGGCATCACTCACAAGCCTACAGAATGTAGTTTACTACTTGATATGTTCATTCGGTGAGCAGTTTCACACTTTGGAAAGAACAGTATAAATTTGTTCACAGCTAACCACTACCTGTCTAAGTAAATACTATCACACGTACACTCTGTCAGTCCAGCTGGTAATTTCAGAATGAGATACCACAAATAAAGCACTTTTCTTCTTCTAAGTACTTCCTACTTAACAAGTATTTCAACTTATGATAGAAGTAGTAAGGGTTTGTGACACTGTGGGTCAGTTATTTCTCATTCTTGAGTAAAAAACAAATAAAAAGCTCTTTTAAAGAAAAAAATATTCATGTTAAAATACTTAACTTTTCTCCCTTTTTCTGTTTCACAGTGAGCACAATGCTTGATGAAAAAATGACAGTACGAAAGACTTACATGCCCATATATTATCATCATAATAAAGCAGCGCCAAGGGTTATCACTCCCCACTCCCACATACACACATGTTCCCCTTGCCTTTAATGTGCTTTGGGTGAGCCTAAAGGAAGCACCTCTAATCACGACCAGTCAAACTGATCTTGATATCCACAAAGCCTTTGCAGCTAATAGGAAATTAACCTGAAGACAAGGGACAGTTTCACACAGAGAAGACCAGAAACAGAAGCAAAGACCCCAGGGTTGACTGAAGTTCCCAAAATGATTAAAAAATTCTTTCTACTGTTGCCTAATAGGAACTGAAGAGAAAAGATGCCCCATTTCTTTGTTGGTCACAAATCTAATTAAATATAACCTCCTCTTTCCCAAACCTCACATTTAATCAGCAGTAGCACACTATTTCCATTTAGTATTCTTATTTCAACAAGCCCTCTTCACAAAATTTCAGCCACCACCTTGTCAGGGAAGAAATGAAAACATTTTCTATGCTGACATATGCCGTGTGATTATTTCCCTATAATGCTCATGCAAGTATCTCATTTTCCTTTAGTCTCACATTGTGACCACCTACACTTTTATATTCTGACCTGCCACCCTCTTCTTTTAGTGTCTGTACGTATTTACAACTGTATCTACTTCTGTGGAAAGCTCAACACAATCAAGCACTGAGCTTTGTTAGGACCTGGAAGTTGTGTCTACTGCCAACTGAAGTATTTGTTGCAAATAAGTATTTCATTCATTAAATATTTTAATAGCATACAAGTTTCCAGTATCTGCCTCTGATATAACTTGGAAATACTACATTTTCTTTTGAGATTTTGCACAATTTAATTTTTCAATATGAAGAGATGCATTTAGCCAGATAGACAGTTTGTGTGCGTGGGGGTAAATCTTTATACACTGTATGATTTGGAAGAAACAACAAGCGCTGAGGGGTTTTGGCTTCTGTATTTAATAAATGATATCAACATACTTCTGAACTAAACATATATTTGGAAAAGACACTTAGAAAAAAATACAGTTAAAGTACTGGTCAAGTTTTTATACAGTAAATTAGAACAGAAACCAGCATTTACAATACATTTTAAAATACATTGAATATTTTGTGTTAAATTCCTTCCAAAACTGAAAGTTTGTAACACCTCAACAACCACAATATCACAGATTATCAACAGTTACAGAGGGCACTAAGATACTGTATTTGGGGATATTTTGCAATGTTTCAAATACCATCCAGATGCTCACAAAGGCTTACAAGTTAACACATGTATCAAGGCTGATACACACAACTTTAGAAGCCAAATATTTTAAAAGTAATTGACATAATGACAGAAATTTAAAACACTTAAATGTCATGTAAACATGACTCTATTTTGGTCAACCAAATACCTTTTTAAAATTGCATCAGGACTAGAACTAACAGAGGTTTTCATGTGGGAATAGTTCAAAGCTGCGCCAGGGGAGGTTTAGACTGGACATGAAGAAGCATTTCTTTACTGAGAGGGTGGTCAGACACTGGAACAGGCTTCCTAGAGAGGTGAACAATGCCCCAAGCCTGTCAGTGTTTAAGAGGCATTTGGACAATATCCTTAACTACATGCTTTAACTTTTGGTCACGCCTGAAGTCAGGCAGTTGGACTAGACGATCGCTGTAGGACCCTTCCAACGGAAATAGTCTGTTCTATCTCGTTCTGCTTCAGAAAATATGACTAAGCAAAAGAAATGCAAATCATGATGTCATAATCTTTAGTTTTGCAACAGCAAATAACCCCTATCAAAAAACCTAAATTAAATGTATAATCTAAATAATACATTAGAACTGCAATCATCAGTAATTCTTTTCTGTAGTAAATAGCTGTGACAGCAAGGTGGTCTAATTAGACTCACAGACTGAATAATTCAATCCCAGAACTTCCACATACATATAACACAAATTCTGAGCTAAGCTGAGATACAGCAAAGAAAGTATATCATGTATGCTATTAAATTAAGATTTGCCAGCAAGTTAAATTTACTGTAGATAAAAAACAAAGCGAGTTTTAACCGAAACATTATCTCCTTTGTCTCAACTGCTATGAGCATCAGTAAGAAGAAATTTATTTACCAGTTACAGGGGTAATCTGTTTGAAAACTTGAACTGTACTACTCAAATCCAGTTCAAAACCCTGTCAAATTCAATGACTTTTCTTAGTGTGCCAGGTAGGATTTAGCAGCAAAATATTGAGAATTCAATTCATATAACAATGAGTAGGCTATACCAGCAAAAGAATCAGGAAACAGAGAACAGTACCACTTAGAACAGCAGAGGTAAGCATGCAGATGTATCCAACTGACAAGCAAAATCAATTCTCATGTCAGGAAATTTCTTTTTGTCCTACGCGACTCTGTTGCTCCTGGACTAAAAGCACAACCGTTCGGAGTTTCCCTAAATCAGAAAATGGCATCAGCATCACTGTGATCTTGGGTGGAAGAAACAGTAGGGGAAAAAATATGGTTCAGGAATCAAAGTCAAGCTTTTATTCCCTGTTTGGTCACCAGCTGTTGATGACCTGAGGGAAGTCATCTCACGATGTGTCCCAAACAGACTGAATTTTAAAACAGATTTCAAACTGCTTACCTGTTTTACAGAGCTCTGAAGTAAATTGAAAAGTGACATATTTTCCTATGAAACAGTTAAGTAGCTTCACCAGAAGGCGGCACTTGTTAAATACATGCACACATACATAAAAACTCTTACCTTCTCCAGGACTGACGGCTGATGGTAGACTCGTCCAGTCTAGGGTCCAGCTGGGGCACGGATGAGGAGAAAACTTTGCTTCAATACCATTTTCCTATGTGAAAGGGGGGAAAATATTAAGACTCTGATCCTTTACCCACTGAAGTTGGTAGCAAAATTCCCACTGAATCTAATGGCATCAGATCAAACTGTGCAACACTTTCAGCCTAACTGAAACTAAATAGGCAACGGACACTGCATTATACGGGATTCAAATTATGTATTTCTCTCACCTTCACAAGAAAGCCCTGTTAATTTTCTTTAGGAAATGCTGTCAGCCTCTATGTAAAAAATACTGAGAGTTATAGAACGTGATGAAGAGTTTTCTTTAACAAAACTCATTAGAATTCCCAGATGTTCAAAGCTCTAATCAAATAGCAAAAAACCCAACAGAAATGATAGAACAATGAAGTCAAATATAAAAGCTACGGGGTTTGTCATCCTTTATATAAATATCTTTAAAACAGGAATACAATATTGCAATTCAAACAGAAAGTTACTTTGATTATTCAGAATTATTGATAGGGCTTCCAGCAGTCCTATCTTTGCTCAATTCCTGAATCGATCAAATATCGTAACAGAACAAAAAAGTAAAATCACGTGTAAGTCAATGCATATCAGAGAGAAGACAGGCAAAAGGTAGACTTAGCTTCCGTAATTCTAATAAATTTCACCTATTCCAAATCAAGCAGAATATTACTATTAAAAATAACTAATTAAAAAGCTTCAATTACCATTAACTTAGTCATAGTTGGCCTTGGACCACCTATAAAATGACTGTCTTCATTCTCCTCTTCTATTTCATCAGGAACTGAAGAGAATTCTTGTAGCGGTTCCTCTGGAGCAGACATCAACCCTGGAAGCTGGAGAAGCTCCATACTGCATTTGCCAGCAGCTTGCTTTACTCCAGGTACTTCTTGAACTCTTCGATACCAAGCGGTTATTAGAGGCAAATTTACCAGATTTTTGCCTTGTTTTTTACTGGAAACCTGGAAAAAATATGGAAAGGTTACTTGCTACTGAAAATTTCTTCCTACAAGCCACAAGAAGGCATGAACTACAGAAGTGAGCTCTGCTCCATGCCGAGTATGCTTACTCACAGCATGATGGTAATGCAAAAAGCTATCTAGTTAAGAGCTCAGGCCTGCAGGTGGAATTACCAGCTGGCCATTTAGACTTTACCTGCAATTCCCATTTGCTTAATAGGATGAAATTTTAAATCATAATTTCAGTCAGTAACAGGAAAACACAATTTAAATAATATTATTAATTATATATTTCCTAACAAAGGAATGATTAATTTTGGTTGGTAATCACACAAAAAACCCAAAAAAACCCAACCAAACAAAAAAAACTACCCAGTAAGTTGCAATGAATACTGAACTCTAAGCAAGACATCATGGTACCTGAACGCTCGTCTTTCCCACAGGCACCCTGAAGCCCTTAAAAGCTCATCCACTGACAGCTGATTTGCCAGCAACTGCAAGCCTGAAATACCTTTGACTATGTGATAACAGCAAAACAGGCACAGGCATACATTGACCCTTGTCTTTACTGAAGCCTTTGCACTACATCTGTGACATCTGTGGTTTTTTACTAGCACTGAATCCAAAACTTTTTTTTAAGTCATGTATTTACTCAAAATTTTTTACCATCCTAACTTCATATTTTTATACAACAAAGGTAACTGTGTATTTCTTTCCTGAATTAAGTATATATGATGGTGAGATGAAGTGGCCTTCAATAGAAACTAGAATTTTAAGCGTTAAAAAAAAGAAATTCTTAAGTAAGAATACAATGGACATATTACAAAATAAGATACCCAAATCACATTTTTACATGACGACCAGCTAATTTTCAGAAGGATGCATTTGGTGAACTTCAGTAATTTTTGTTCAGGTTCCCAAATGTTTTTGAACAGTAAAGACCACCCTCTTACAGGAGAGGTGGTGAAGTCTCCATCCTTAGAGACTCTCAAACCTGACTGGACATGACCCTAGGTAATCAGGTCTAGTAGAATCTGCTCCAAGCAGGGCACTTAGACAAGATGATCTCAGAGGCAGACTCCAACCTCAACTATTCTGTGATGCTGCGCCTGCTTTAAGCAGAAAATTAAAAATTGTGATTACAGGAAAAGGCAGAAAAGGCTGTGTGCTCCTCCAAATATCTGTCCTCAGTGTGGAAATAGAAATTGGTAAAGAACACTTGAAATGGCACGAAATTTCAAGCAGCTTTCTTGCATGCTGTGTTTATAATGTTCTTAGGGTAATCACAAGTAATTAGTAATAGCTAAAGGAGCAAGAGGAGGATGAACTGTGTAATTTTAGTATCTAATTCAATATCCTAATAGTAACACAGACAGAAATATATTAATTCAGTTAAGGAAAAAGTCTTTTGGAAAGCAATTCTAAGAGGCACAGGATAACAAATGTTCTAAATTGTATTTTAAAAAGTGAATAGTGGTTTCTCCCAGATGAAGAACAGAGCTTTTGTTATTCTTCTGTTAATTTTAAACAGTTACAACTCATAGAAAGTCTAACAAAGCTAACCTCAGAAAGATAACAGAAATGGAATGAGGTAATGAAAAACAACTCTTCAGCTTCATTATCTTACTTTTGGTAATTATAATTACAATCAGCTAGTCAGGTCTCCTCCTATTTATTGTATGATACTTTCCAGACACGTAGCTATTGAAGACTTCATTATTATTCACACCCTTAAAGCAAAGTGTAAGTGCAACTATAATGATTTTTTTAAACACAATCCAGGAAGTCCAGTTATATAAGTGATAAATAACATTTTAATACGGAATTAAACTCTGGCACTTCCATCAACAACAGCAGTTTCAATCCATTGTCTGCAAAAAGCTTTCAGAAGCAAGTTATTCAATTTTGATGATAACTGTAGGAATCAAGGCATAATTACTTAGAAAATGATCATTCACCAGAGAACAGAAATAAAGCAATATTACCCCAGAGCTCTTATAATATAGGTAAAAATTAAATTGAAAGCCAGCTTTTTAGGACAACCCTTAGAGCGAGCTACCGCAAATGTATTATACAATATATAGCCTGTAAGCTGCAAATCACCAGGTCTCAAGTGTCACACATGAAAAGCAAATAAATATAGCATTCTCAGCTGCTCCAGTACATCTACAGAATAATTTCAATTGGATGGCTGAAATCAATTAAGCATCTGATCCAAGAATCTTCTCATGCCTAGCACCAGTAAATCAAACATTACTGTAAAAAGTTATGCTCCTCCTATTAAAAAAGACTTTGGAAAAATAAAGACGACTGAAATATATTAAAGTTTTTAAAATAATAGGAAAACATTTTGTCTTACTACATGTGTTCAGTATCATCTACACGGAAGTTGCTGTTATTCCTCAGTTACGTGATTTGTAAAACAAACAAAGCAGCGATGAATTAATAACCATTTCTGTAAAATAACTCTTCATCCTAATTCAAACATAGTCATATTAACCTACTCTAGACTCCCACATTGCTCTCATTATTCAGAAATCCACTGAGGATTATGATCTTGGTTAAAGAAATTACAAATTGGACATCTGTCACATATTAATGCTCGCTAGTAATTATCTTGATTTTAGGGTTTGTTTCTCTGAATCTGACTGACAGCATCTTCTCCAGGAATTCCATTTGTTTTCAAACACCATAAGGCAAATTTGGCAACAAAACTTGCAAAATCAAAATGCAAATACCAACTTCACTCAGAGCTCTTCCTGGCAACAGACACCAGCTATCAATCTCATAGAGGAACTGCAGGAACACTGGTAGCAGGCAAACTCGTTGTATCATTTTATTGTCACGGGAAATAAAGACACAGATGTCATTTCCTTAATTCTCTTCTGTGTATACATCCTCATAAAACTAAGTACACAGATTGTGCTGAGCAAGACTCTCACACAGTCTTGCCACAGAAGTTTTTCCCCACTATAAAACTGCTTTTGAAGCTGAGTTCAAGTCACTTGCACTACTAAGCCCTACCTCTTTCCAGAGGTGAGAAAAGGGGGCTGGGGGAGTGTAAAAAAAAAAAAAAAAAAAAAGTAGGAAATAAAAATCAAATGGCATGGCTTTATTAGGCTCAAAACATATTTTGATATATTTTCCTAATCCTGATGTTAAGATATTTGTATCTGCAAGACACTGGCACTTACTAGATAAGTGCTAAAAAAACCCAGCCACCACCACACATGCACATGGAACCTCCTTTTCAGGCCCAGATAAATTTTGTACAAAGTGAGAGATCCACCACAAAAGATTCAATAACCAAGTGACTAAAGCTCTCCCCTACAAGAGGAGTGAAATGAGCTTTTAACGATCACTGACCTAAAGGCACAGAGACATGAACATTCTACTGATTCAAATTACAGACAAGTTGACACAACCAACAGCTTGGCAAACTGCATCCTGGAGTGCAGGAATTTCTAAAAATCAACTTTGCCACTTGTGACAATGTTTCTATAATGATATTCTATGTCAGGGAACAAATATTTATTCCCCAGTTTTCCACATTCTATGTGGTGGCCTGACTGCCAGCTGTACCAGTGCTTTTCCTGTTTTATCTTGGTGAAACTCTTCGAAGTTTTCAAATTCATCTGCATACAGACTGTGACACCTTTTGAGAACTCTACACGCATCACTAGACACACAATAGTCCTACACTCACAATAAAATTTTGCCTATATCCACTATATAAGTTTCCATATTACTTTGCTAGCATACACTGAGTTTCGTCAATGTGCTGTGAAACCATCTTTATATGGAGGAAAAAGACAAGGATGAAGACAATTGAAAACAGCCCATTGATGTTTGTTCAGTATTAGGAATGTGCTAGGTTGACTGCAAAAGAGAATAGAGACAAAGGCATGTTTGAATAGACCATGCTCTTGGCATTCCCAAAGTACTTAAACACTCCCCTAAAGGAAAGTATGAACTTGCTATCTGTATGTTATTAGACCATACATGTAACACAAGATTTTATCAGGAAAAAAAAAAAAAGCAGCCAATCTCATAGGACTGCAAGGAGACTTGTAACTTTTCAGTTATGAACATTACTCTCAAGAGCTTCTAGCAATGTAATGTTTTCCAAGAAACTTCTCCTTTCACTGCAGTAAACAAAGGACTTTCCGCAAATTGTAGAAGACAGTTTAGTAGCAACAATAGCGTGAATGACGAAACTACAGATTATTGAAGTTTCATGGGCTGAAGCACATCCCAAAGAAGCTGGCTCCCTAGACATAACACCTCATTTCTGAGTGGGGTCACAGTGATCAGTCCTTGCTTGAAGAAGAATACAAAACTGCACAGAAGAATGTAAGTTTTGCTGATATGTAGGCATTGTGGTGTCCTAGGCACCCATCTTTATCTATAGATGTGCAATGAAACTGGCTTATTTTGTGGGAGGGCTTGATACACAGGAATGTTTCCTCCCAACCAATGAAGTCATTCCTAGGAACTAGAAGAAAACAACAGCAGAGATTAGGAATAATTAATCTATTATGAGGACAAATAAGCAAATCAGAAGTCATAGCACAACGTATTTTAGGAAGAAATATTTGTAGACAAAAAAAAAATCCTCAAGAAATTACATACCAGGAGCATAAACAAATGAGCTTTTGGAAGCCTTTCCCCAGTCAGTACCCCAGTACCTTTTCAGCTCTAGTATGGGTTAGGAAAGCCAAGGATTTACACCTCTAAAAAGCCACCACAGTACCTGAATTTCTCTCCATTCACTGCCTCCCTAAAAGGCATTCTTACTTTCTTAGAAGGTACTTGTTTTCTTTTAGGCATATCTGTCCATGTCAAGATAAAGTCACATAAAGTTTCAAGTCTTTGTTGAAAAGAATTCCAATTCAGATAATATCCATGTAGTAAAAGTACAACAAACTGGGTAGGAATTCATTTTGCCTTGCCCGTAGTACACTAAAATCAAAATTAAAATAGGTTCATGCTTATCTACTTTTTTTCTATGCATATTGAATGTACTTTAAGTGTCCATTTTAAATCTCTCATGGTCAATATCCCTTCTAGTATTTTAAAATTATTATATCATTCTCAACCCTCCCTCCTGTTAAAATTTAAAAATAGGTTCATGCTTACCTACTTTTGCTTTATGCATATCAGAATGAACTTTAAGTGTCCATTTAAAGTATTTTCAAGAAGGAATTTTCTGGGCAACTTCATGCCAAAATATTTCAGCATAATATTTTAACAGTTAACAGTGTTTACTAAGTATTGATATGCTACGTATTTAAAAGTAATTTTGGTGATCTCACCAATCCCTGTTTTTTGTTTGCACAAAAACAAAGACAAATCTTCTGTTTCGGGTTAAGTTCACATTGCAAATGTCACAATGTATTTTAAATTTTAAAAAAATTTGAATTTTACAACTTTCCAGTTCTTAAAAAAAAACCCCAAACTTATACAGTACTCAATATTTACAGAACTTTTTGTCTTACCAAGAACTGATGGATACACGGCAAAAGGACTATATCTGCCAAGGTAAAATAAAGCCCTTCTGCAAAAACGTGGTCCAAAAGCGGAAGGTCAGAGGTTTTTGTTCTCCTGATGTGAGGGGCCTCCCTGTTAACTGCACCTGATACTTCCTCCTGGACAAGTAACTTGGAGAAAGCTATGCTCAGTTCCACACTTGGGAGTGGACGGTGATGCATTTCTACTGTTTCTCCTTCCTCTGTTGCTTCTTTACCAAGTACAGGCACTGCAGCCTTGGCACCTGCCTTCTGCTGTTGAAGTTTTTGCCTTCGAATTTTGTCATCATTATGTACTCGGACAGGTTCTCCAAGCTTCCTTTCAAGCCGTAAAATGTCAGGAGGAATAGTATGACAGTGCTCAGGAGACGCTGTCAAAAATCCTTCAACAGCCAGAGGTATGCTGATCTCACAAAGTCTGGTCCACTGGCTAACCTGTCAGATAAATGTACATAATTAATGTCTCCGCAGAAAGAGAAACAAAATCCAGGGTACCTTTTTGTCCACTTTAAGCAAAGAAATTCCAGCTTTAAATAAATTCTTTGATAATTTTATAAGCTCAGATATTCTGTATTATTTTTGCAATAGCAGAATTAGGAAGCTAAATCGTAGATATAACAGAATGAATAGTTACCCAATACAGCATAGTTTTATTCTTTATTATTGGCATAAGATTAGGGTGGCTGTGTAACTCAGAAGCAGCAAAGCTGTGACCAGTTTATACATCATCTCTACCAAGTGCTGGTAATAAAACCAGATTACACCAAACAGATTTTGAGCACATTTATTTTACAGAAATGCATTGTATTATTAGCGGTTTTTTAGCATGCAACATCAAAAAAAACTTTAGACTAACCAAACAGCACCTGAAAAAAATTACTTTTTTTTTTATGTTCTTATCCTTGTCCTCTTTTTCTTATTATCTGTACTTAAAGGTTTTAAAAGTTCTAAACTCTTGTCTTGTTCAGTTTACTCACTTTGTAGCCATCTGAAATATGGAATCAAGTTTTCCAGCAGTTCCAAGAAGAGATTAGAACCAGAGGTTTCTGGAGGTTGTCAGGGACAATTTCTTTATGCTAGTGCTAGATGGACTAACACAGGGATATGCTTCCCCAGATCTGCTACTTGCCAACAGGGATGAATTGGGTGGGAGGCACAGTAATTAATGGCAACCATGGATGTAGCGATCATGAAATAGTGGACTTCAATATTCTCCTGAGAGGAGTGAGGAAAGCAAGTCTAGATGGCGTCACCAGATGAGTAAACTGCTGTGTGATAAATTGGCTGAAATACCAACTCAAAGGGTAGTAGCGGTTAATGGTTCACACTCTACCCTGATGGTCAGTTTGAAGTGGAGCTCTTTAGGGCTCTATGCTGAGGCCTATCCTATTTAATTATCTTTACTAATGACCTGGAGGGGTGACGGAATACACTCACATCAAGGATGAAAGTGAGCTGAGCGGAGCAGTCGTCAAACTCCAAGAAAGAGCTGCTGTTCACAGGGGCCTGCACAGGCTAGAGAACAGACTGACAGGAACTGACATCAAACTCAGTAAAACATCCTGCCCCTAGGATGGACTAAACCCCTTAATGGTACAGGCTAGGGACTGACTACCTGGCCAGGTAGCAGCTCTGCTGAAAAGACCCAGGACATCCTGGCAAGCATAAGCTGAACATAAGCCAGCAGTCCGCCTTGGCAGTGATGAAGGCTAACAGTACACGGTGCTCTTGAAATCTAAAATAGCAATGAATTAGGTATTTCTTATGTTTACTTCAAACTGCAAGAGCTGTACTTTATAACTTATTCAAACTACACTGCTAGACATGAAACAGATCTGACCTATTTTTTTTAATCTTAAGGTTCTTTTTGTGCTGCTAAAAAGTAGTATCTTGAAAAATAATTCTTTTTCATCTTTGTGCCAAAATAGAGATACTTCTCCATTAAGGAAATTTCATTTTCTAAGCAAATTAAGTTTCTTACTAAAATAACTTAGTTTCCATCAATATTAAGAGTCTACTCCAGAGTACTTAATACTTATGGAAAACCCTATTAATGTATCTAAGAGAAAGAGATGCACTCACTTCAGCACAGGCTTTTAAGCAGGTCTTCTTAAAGCCTAAGAGTTCCAAAACATACTTTTTAGATGGATCTGCCTCGTATGTTTTCTGTATTATATGCCTTAAGACAACAGAAAGCCCAGCTCTGCAGAACTTGCCATCTTTCACGACGACAGCAGGTAAACAGCAGCTCTGCACAACCACTGGAAGCTGACATCTGGAGATTAAATGGACCTCAAGATCACCAAGAAGTTTTTTTGTCACAAACTTATCATCCACATCTTCACTAGTTGACACTAAGAAAATTTTGAATAATTTGCAGTCACAGTAGGATAGCAAAAACAGTGAAATAGATGTATGAAGAGGAAAGATACTATCTCTGTACTGATGGGAAAAATCCAAATATAAATGTTCTTCAGCAACACTATCTTTCATCTTCCTCCTGAGCTGAAGTTCCTGAAATAGAAATCAGAACACAACATTCATAAAAAAAATACAGAATTTAGAACAAAAAAGAAGGTTTGAAACAGTGGCCCTTCCACTATCTGCTAAAATTGATTTTAACATAACATACTATTAAAGATGTCCTGCCTGAATAAGTAGACTGCAGGTCCTTCTTGAGAGAAAATAATGGATTCGTATGTACACTGTCTCTTCACATACAAATCACTGATCAGGAAATTATCTGTGCAAAATTTTGTTTTACAATTTAGCATATTTCAGACATTAAACAAAACATGCAAAACCAAAATATTTCCTTTTAATTTTTTTTAGTGTATAAACATTTTATAGCAAGACTTTTTTTTTTAAAATCGATAATCTCCCACAACATTAACCATACATTAACGAAAAGCAAGTTCCTGAGCACATATCTACAATGGCCAGTTTCCTAATGCACACATTTGTCTTTCTGTAACTGTTAGAAGGCATATATATAGGTTATTAGGCCATGGGAAATAATATTTTTTGTTTCTGTATTAAAAATTAATCTAGAGCCTGACAAGATACTAACTGAACGTTAAGAGGACACACAAGAAGAAAAAAAAAAAATGTTCATTTCAAGAATGCTACATGAAGACCTCAAACACACAACTACTTTAAAGTAGTTAAATACAACAGTAACATAGCTGAAATTAATGTTTTCTCATTATATTAAAAACCTGAATTCCTTTTCCTTATACTTGCTTGAAAATTACATTTTTCCTATTAAACTATTCCACCAGTTTAATATAAAACAATGATGCAATCATTCAATAAAACTGTGCATTAACTTACAAATCACAACTCGTATTGAAAAGCTTTAGACACTAGATGGCACTCTTAAAACAATCATTACAGAAGAAAGCTTATTATAAAGAGAAACAAATTTGAATGTTGCTCAGAAAGGCTAGTATGGTTTAAATACATATATAAAGCACAAGTGACATTGGAACAGCATCAGTCTTTCAAATAACTCTAGATTAATAAGGTCTCTGTACAGTTACATGAATGTGATGTAATTATATTAAAAGAAAAAAAGTTTTCATTTGATATATATAGGTCATTGTATTTTTTTTTTCATGTAGATGTGTACATCAAATTTACTATTTTATATCATCTATTACTGGGCCAAATCAATTGTCCAAAAAGAGGCAGTGGACCAATAAAATCAAGTCCACCTGACATTAAGTAAAGATCATAATAATGATTGTTACAGCGAAGTATTTTTAAACCATTATACGGCTTTGTCTCAGAACGACAGTGGCTCAATATAATAGTCCTGTTGCTTTTCTTTAATTTAATACACCTGCCACACAAAAAAATTGTAAAATACATAATTAAATACCTACTTTCCTAAAAGCTATTTTATTTGCATAAATCTTGACAGCATGTAAGTTGAGACAGATTCAATACCATAAGTACAGCCCTGTGGAAGAAATTATATAGTGAAGGTATTATTGAGGAGATTATCAAGAAGAGTTAGTCTTACCTGCTAAATCTATAGTTACTAGCATCTAAACTCATATCCTTAACTTTAGTACTTCTTTCAATATTCAACAGTACCCTCAGACGCATTTGAGTTGTTTTTATTTTCCATGGGAACCTGTAGAGCATACAGCCCCACCTCTTCCTGGCCACTCTAGCCATTCAGAAATACATGTTCACCTTATAAATCATTTCGCCACTGAATTTTTTCTTCTAGTTGACCTTATAGGAGATAATCAGCTTTTTTGGTCGTTACCATGCTGTATAGAACTGCTAAATATTTTGGTAAATTCTGAAGAGGTTTCTATTTCCAAAGTATATCATTCTATAGTTTCCATCTGTTAATCACCTGTTCTTACAAATTATTCCAAATCTATCACTCAGGACTGCACAAGTAAAATATTAACCTTTTCAGCACACAGGTACACCGGCCCTTGTCCATTTTCATCCAGAGCAGCAGCTCTGAAGCACTGATTCGCCAGAGAGGATAATATATTATTAGACTAAAAATAAAAAATAAATTCTTGAAAGATGTCCAAATAGAGGTACTACTTAATCAGGCTACTGATTAAAATTTCAAAAATGTCCTGGTATGAAAACTGGTAGATGAAAGAGTGAACACCGTCAATGCGAATTCCCCTCCAATCTGTTGAAGAAAATTACTTCTACCCAGTAGCAATGAGTAATAGATAGCAGCCATCAGTCAGTCCCAGAGACAGTAACTGGAAATAATGACTTGTTGGTTATTGGTCTGCTCTGTATTCAACCCAGTAAATGCCACAGCTGACACTATCCTATTAATCTACCTGTCTCCTTGAAGTTTGAAATTTGACTTGAAATTTGTCTGGTCAAATTCAACTATTCTTATCTTCAGGTATACAACTATCACATATAGAAGTCACACAAACCAGATAAACCAATACTAGGATCTTGCTGAAGCAGGATAAGCAGATGCTGTCCAGAGCTACCCACTCCATTCTCTTGACAGGGTCAGAAAATGGGAAAATGCATGCGGCCCACCTTATTTAGTCCATAGTATCTTAACTTAAAGTCACTTCCCTCAGTCATTTTAGGTAAGGCTCTGGATTTTGCACTGAAGCAAAGATACACTCAGGAAAGGTCTGTTCTCAATGCCTAGAAGAGAGAACATCTGGGAGACAGCTGGGCCAGACAGCTTGAGGATGGTTACTAACTTCTTCGAAACTCGAAGTAATTTTTTGTAACTATACAGAGTAATTTACCACTAACTCAGCTGCAACATGGTGAACTATACCAGAGAGACTGAACTATTTTTATGAACCTAACCTTCTACAAAGACAGAAAGAACACAGAAACAATGACATTCAAGATGTACTTACACAGCAGCACTGTACTCACACTGTAAAATCAGAACATTTTGCAGATATTATTGAGAAAAAATTATTTTGGGGAGGGGAGAAAGGAAACGCCAAGACTTTTCTTCCCCCTCAGCCAGAGCAGTAAGCTAATGTCATTCAGCACGCAGCAGCAAAAGTGCCCATGTAAAGGACATGGTAGAAATGTCAACTGCAGGTGGCAGGAAGCCCAGGAAATTACTTGTTTTGACAGTGGCTCGGACCTAGATAGCGTCAACTAGTCTTGGTACCACACATTGAATTGGCTTAGTACCCTCTAGTCCTACAACGACAGAGTCGGTTCAGATTCTGATTTGGCTCTTTCTTGTATTCTCCTTCCTCAGGTAAAGCCACCTCATACAGGTAGTGCTTAAAATAAGCTTGGATAGCCTATGAGAGGGGTTCTCACTTAAGACTGCCCAGCACAACACAAGTTACTGTACTCAGTGGCTAGCAGTCATCCAGTACCTACCTGTAATTAACTACGCATGAAAAAAAAGTTCTCCAGTAACTCTCCACAGAATTGTACAATTCATCTCCATGAAGCACAAAGAACCAGTGAACACGTCTACAGAGGTAAGCATAATGCTCACTACAATTTGAGGTTTAGCTGCTCAAACACAGGTAGTTATATTGACCCCAAAATAAAAACAGAGCTTTCATTGCTCATTGACAAGAATCTCAGGGCTCTTAGAGAAGTTGCAACATCTGCTGTTGAATTTTGTGATATATAAAAAAAGCCATTTCTACATTTTCATCTGGTTGGATAGGCAGTTGTTTTTACTAAGTTTTCCAAAAGACATATTCTCCTTTACCTAGGTTTTGTGCACACGCTGAAGTTATAAAAAGTAAAAAAATGTTAAATACCACTCACTCATAAAACATTCATTAGCTACTCAGATTTTATTTTTTTACAAAGTACTCAAAAAATTTTAGAAGGGGATTCTCCTATGAAGGTGAGGAGAAGGGTTAAGCTAAGGCAGCTGTTTTGGTTAATTAGACTCTCCCTACATGGGAGAAAGGGAAATACAAAGATGAAAATTAAGGTCAATATTACGAAAATTTCCTTTTTAAAGAATCACATAAATAGTGACGGTATCAAGATAGCAACAATTAATCATCCCAGGTAGTAATTCTGAACCAAATAAAAACGAACTGTAAATTGCTAATTTCTGAAAAAAGTGCAAGCAACTAATATCTTACACTTAACAGCAGAACAAACTCCAGAGCAGGAGGTAACTCCAGCTCTCATCACAAAAAATACAAATGTCTCATTTCTTTGGTTGCCAGGGAGAGTTAAGAACATTGCACATTTCACAAGATCAGGTCTTAAATCTGAGAATGGGTACTTGCATATATAAATGATTTCCAGATCCTGACAAACCAATCTGTCATTTCATCATTTCGGTTCATACAGGCAATCAGATCGATCTCTACTAAAGGTCCTGATCCCGCAAGCACTCATAGTACCTGACCTGAAGCCATATACTGTCCCATTATTTTCAAATACAGTCCCAAAGGCTTCTCATGTAGTATACTACTACTTTTTTTCCTACCGAAGTCCCTTTATCTTCTCAAATTTGCAGTGCAACAACACTGAAATTGGTTTCCCAGAACGGTACTCCCTGTTCTGCTACTGATATGGTCAATTTAGATCTGAATTATTAAACTTATTGTGTGGAACGGAACAAATACTTTTAATTACGGTCCATTTAGGACAATAATACCTTTCTGTTTCCACAGCTAACCTTCAAAGGATGAAAAGATGAGCTTCACTCAGCAGGTAAACAAAAGAAATGTTGCACTTAAAGTTCCTGTTTGCATCCTCCAGCTGTTTCCTCCTCTGCTCTGCCCAGAGCAGTGGTCCAGGGACACGTCTCCTTTACAGTTGCCAAAGAACTTGCATCTAATGTCCAAGGAAGCATAAACAAACATGTTACATTATGTATCTTTAAATTCATGATAATTCAGGCTCAAATATCAAACTAAGTATTTTTAAAACTCTAACTATTGACTTAACGAAGGTTAAGATTCAAACGTCAATTTGCTAAGGTTGGCTCCTCCCTCTCCTGCCAATACTCACACTTAATTCTTCACTTTATTTCACTCAATTGA